ATATATATATATATATATATATATTATTTCAGTCATCATTCAAATTTTTGTATCATAATTCATCTAATTTAAAACATATTTTTCAAATCATTTAAGTCAGGATGGGCTCCTTTAATAGGCAAGTTTTTTCTGAGTGGTACATACACTACAGTGACATCTTATAATCAGTGGAGTCTTAGATCTGATGAAATAGGCTACTTGTAGGAAATTATATTCCAGGTGATGTCTACATCACTTTGTGAAATCACAGACTTCCACAGTTTTTTCTACTACTCTGCACACTCCCCTCCTCAGTAACTCATTATATCCCAGCAATATGTGGGTCTTTGGGGCCTTTTCCTAAACACCTTGGGGCCCTTGGGCCAGCCCTTTCCTGGCCTGAAAGCTCCCTGCGCCCACCAACCTGGCTCCTTACACATGTGGCTCCCTCGGGGTTATGCAGTCCCAGCTTAAGGTCACTTCCTTGGAGAAGATACTTGACTGCCCAATCAAAACCAGCTCTGCCACCAGAACATTTCCTATCATATTACCCAGTTTTGTTTTCATCAAAGTACTTACCCTGATATTTTCATTTAGTTGTCTCCTTACTAAAGCACAAGCTCCAGAAATGTAGAGATCTTGCCTGTCTTGTTCAACACCATATCCTAGCACCTAGAAGAGAGCCTGACACCAGGTGGTTGCACAAATATTTCTAGAATCAATACTTAAGAAAAACAATGCTAGGCTATGGACACAATATCTAATCATTTTAAACTTCCTCATTTTCCTATGGAAAAGAAGCTCTTCTGTATAAATTACTTTTGGAGGAAGATCCACTGCTGATTGTTATCAAATTAAATACCATTCTAGAAATATATTAAAAGCATACAACAAGAATAATTTCCATTGCATGAGACAATTCATACCGTCATTAATTTACTTGTACATATTCCAAATCTACCTACTTTTGACCAGAACTGGTATCAAACAGGTGGCAAACTAGAATGAAAAGAAAAAGGTTGTTTCAAAATCCTCAAGGCTGTGATTACCTTCAACTTTTCAATTTTAATCAGAAAGAATAGTTATCTCTCCCAAAAGAAAGATGAAGTTAAAATCACTGGTCTCACTTGTGATTTTTTTCCCCACAGCCCAACTCAAAGGATTAAGTGAAACAAAATTTGTCAGATATTGCAGAACATCTAACATAAACAATGACTAGCTCACTGTCAATTTCTTTAATTCTTATATTTCACAGGTATGAAAAAAAGAAAATAAAAAGGCTGAAACCCTAAAAAGTATATTTGCTTTTTTAATTCAAAAAAGCCCATGATTCTTTGGGAGGCGATACAAGATTGTTTTCCAGTCAGATGACAATTTCTGTAATTTCTGTAATAACCATCAATTTAAAAGGTTCCTGCTCTCCCCACCGAAGTTCACTTTTGGCACCTATATGTGAAATGTCACTTCTGAGAAATGGGGAAAAATGTGCTGAATACTGGCTTTTTATCACAATACTTTTTCCTAGTGAAAAATTTTCTGATTGCTGAATTTAGACTGTTGATATAAGATTAAAATATCTCATCAACAAAAATTTTTTATTAACTAACTATATGACTGTCTCAGAAAAAATTAGATGAGAAACAGCAACCAATTCGCAGAGATAAGACGGCAACAGATGTCTCTCTTTGCTCCTCCTTTCAATTTAGAATCACAGAGCAGCTCCGTGAGAGGGAACAGTAATCTGGCACAGGCTCTGGCTTCCTGAATCAATAACATGATCTTAACTCACCCCGTTCTTCACAACAACTCACATTACACTGTAAAAAACCAAAGAAGCAGCTCTCTCAACCTCTGCATGCAGAGAGAGGATCATCAGGAGGATAGAGTATAGATTGCCAGTGGAAAAGGAGGGGCCTAACCATACAACTGGAAATAAAAATACTAAGCAAAAACATTTTTTTAATCTGATTAGAAAAGTGTATCATTTATGAAGTGTACTACTCTTGAGTCTTCACTTAACTTCTAAAAAGCAGCACCTATACAAGAATCAGGGTGCTGCAGGAGAAAAGCAGACGGCAGAGACCATAACTGGCCAATAATTAAATAGGAAGAATATAACCCTCATTTCCCATTCTTGAGAAGGATTTATGACCTTGTTACTAACCTATCTGACCCAATTCAAATGCATTTTTTTAGCTGTGCTTCGAGTTCACAGGGTTTTGCCAAGAAACTTATCCAAAACGTGTCTGAATTTTCCCATGTCATCAGAGCTGAATGGATTTTTCAGAGTACTGCTGTTAAGCTGTTAAGAGCTGCAGTGTCTTACCCAACTTCTCTCCTCAATTCTAATGAAATATGACATTTTTATTTCAAAACAAAGATGGCAATGTTACAAAACTAGAAAAAAATAAAATGCTGTGACAGTACTTTGTCTTTTTAATTAATACTGGACTCTGTCCTACCTACAGCACTATAAACGTGACTAAGCTTTTGGAAGGGCGGGAGGAGGGAATGAAGGTAACTCCAACACCCCTCCCCTCCCCAAGAAAGGAGCCACTCCATTGCATGGACAAGGGCTTATTTCTTCTGCCAGACACTGATTCACAAACATTTTCCCCCATTTAAAACAGTATGCATGAGGTTGTGGAAAGCAGAGAACACACCAAGAAGTTGGCTCCATGCTTCTCTTAAAGAGCCATCCTGTGACCCTAGAGGAGACGACTTCACCCACTACATGGCATTCACAGTAAACAACATCTTTCTTTAAAACTTTTCTTGTTCTTGCTGCTTTTCTTGCCATTCTTGTCTTTGTTTTCTGACATCTTCTTTGCTCGAATTTCTCTCATTAGGTCAAAGAACACCTGGAGTGGAGAGCACAGGTAAAAAGAATAGGGAGAAAGAAGCCACTTATTGATCAATGAAGCAATTTCAACTAAACAGGACGTGTACTTACATTTTAAAGCATAGAGCCAAACTTACTTTTATAAACTATGTGTTATCAAAAATAAAAGGTCTAGAGCAAGTAAGAATGATTCACATTAAAAACATTCTAATTATACAAAGTAACCATCTCTTCCCACATCATTCAATGGGGTCAAGCCAAGGACAGAAGCATCATATTATTACCACCATTCAACTGCTTATTTCAAAAGGATACAATCTTTTCTTATGACATGTATGATAAAGGATAAAATATCAGAACAATTCTACAACAGTTTGTGAAATATACCAATACTATACATATGTAAAAATACTAGCACCTCCAACTATCAGAAAAGGGATGATATGGCTCCCTACTACTAGGGGCTTTCTCGTGTATCACCATAACTCCTTTCATCCTTAATACTGATCCTAGAAAGGCAGGAACATCATTATGCATGACAACTTTCCAGCACAACTCCACACAGTGGCCTTGGGAACATGGTGGGGTAGGGAGAAGGAGGGGATAAATTGTAAAGAACTAAGGCTCCGGTGCTATGAAAGTGGGAAATTAAGAGGAGGGAAGTTCTGTCACACCACCCCTCCCCACATGTGCTGTTACCCTAAATCTCAGGAACAAAATCCCCCTTTGTTTCTTGGATGTCAGTGGGAAGGACCGTTACCCAGAGCTGCTGAGACTGCCCTCTGAGTGTCAGGCTGGGGCTTAGGTTTGGGTTAGCGTCAGACACAGGTGTCTGGGTTTTGCCCTCTGCTGAATCATGCCAAAGTACTGATTAGATCTAAGCAGACAAACTATGCCTCCTTCCAGGGAACATTCCAGATTCTGCATGAGGAATGGCCAAGACATTAAGAATGAAAGTGTGAGGCTGAAGGCAAGCCTTCATCTGGGGCGTTCACACAAAGCCACCAGAAGATTTTACTTTCACCTCCTTCTGGGTGAAAAGCACTATCAGCTTCCTGAGTGTGGGATGCCACGTGCATTTGCCACCAGCCCTAGGTACAGAAAAGGACCCCCCACCAACTGGCCTAAGCACCCCCGCCCATAACAGCAACAGTGAACAGCTTCAAATGTTCCAAGTTTTTCTTTTTTGTTCTAACAGCAAAAGGGAGGAAGAGGAAAATGGAGTGTGTCCAACTTAAAATGATGACAAAGTAGTTCACTGACTGATCTTATCAATAACTCCCTTTCGTGTAACTGTGCACAAGTGAACACAATGCTGCCAGTCCTAAGTTCTGCTGGTTCATGTCTGGCAGGTCAAGTCAGTCCAGTGGAGGAAGGGGAGACACCAAGCAGTCGAGCTCCAGTTCCATTCCCCACCCCAAATCCCATCACAAAAATACACACCAACAGTGCCTTCTTACCAAGAAAGCCAGCCTGATGTTTTAAGTGAAGTGTGAGTCTGCATTTCATGAGTGTTTTCCATAGCTAGGAAACAATTTGATAGAAAGAGATTTGCAATAGCACAAGAATCAACATAAAAGTTGAGAAATATTATGAAGAATAGCTAACGGGTAAACATAACTCCACATTGCAGACTACAGCTGAAGATTTACCTTGTCTATATGCCACCAAAGTGCTTCTGCACAGACCCCTCCAATGCCACCATTCTCAACATCAATGTCCTTCTAGCATCATTTCAAGCTAAAGCAAAGCATGGTTACAAATCTCTCCCTCTTCAGGTTAAGAAGTAAAGGTGAACTATTTTCCATAAGAAAGAGAACATTCAGAAATGGTCTGAAAGATTCAGATGCTGAGGCTGCACAGCACAGAGCAGACACAGCCATGGCCTGGTCGCTGAAGTGGTGCATGTTTAGGTTTATAAGGCTGTGGATCATGAAGTAAGAGCTAATGAACAAGGTGAGGCAAGAGGGAAAGCCTCATCTCTTGGGGTGTGGATCTGAGCTGTGCAACAACCACTTGAGCCTTATTTTTTTTAAAGGCCTAACAATAGCAGTCACTGGAAGGTGGATTTTCAAATTGTTGATGTTCCTCATTGTCAATGTTGTCCTTTTCTTAGCTTTGGAGATTTGAATGAGAAAGCATGCTAGGGATGAGTGAGAGAGAGAAGAGAGATTCCTGGAGCAAACTACTTAGAGACTAAGTTACAAACATGGAACACTTGGCTCTGCCAGAGGATGGAAAGACAAAAAGAGTAAGTCCAACCAAAAACTCACTGAGAGCAGGATGGAGAGCCATCGTGGTTCCTTGGGGAAACTCCTAGGACGCAGCCCCACATGCTGCCAGCTCTGCAGTTGAACAGCAGGCTCCTGAAGGTGAGTGCTTAGGGAAGATTCTCATGTACCCACTGCTGGCACAGTCGTCCCAAAGCATGGGCCCACCTGGCCTACTTCCAAAGGGCCGTGCCAACATGAAGCAGAGGCTAACAAAGGCTCATGACAAGTGAACCAACTTCTGCTTTGTTTTAAATCCAGAGTCAAATCCTCTCGGTTTTTCTTATTATAATGGCCTTAACATCTGGAAAAATCAGTCCTCCCTTAGTTTCCACAAATGGTCCCCTCCAAACCAAACATTTGAGTGTCTGAATTCTGCTACTTCTAGGACACACAGGGAACATGCCCACCTTGTCCACATTGGCCCGCGTTTTGGCTGACGTCTCCACATACTGCACAGCCCACTCGGCTGCCTTACTCCTGGCCTCCTCCGACGGCACCTGTCTCCGCTCCTCTAAGTCAGACTTGTTCCCCACGATGAGTAACGGAATTTTATCTTCTTCAGCCTTAACACGGAGGATCTGTTCCCTAAGGTGGAGTATCAAAGATACAGCAGCTCAGAAAGAGAGAGGAAGAACTCACCCTCATGATCCTCTACTGGGGCAGAAGAGACATTGCTGTGCTTCCAAAGCAGCCTGCTCTAGGCCCTGGCATAACCTACCCAGGGTTTTTAAAGTCTCGTCCTCAGTCAGCCTGCAGCAACAGGACCTGGGGGTTACAAATGCAGATTTCCGGGCCAAACAGTAGTAATACAGCAGTCAGTGTTTTGATGAGAGAGCTTAGGGTTCTGCATTTTAACAGAGCCCCCAGTTTACACTTAGGCAAAAAAAAATTAATAGTTTTTCAACCTGGGAACCACTGGTATAACAACAAGCCAAAACAAGTGTCTTCACACATAAAATGTTTACTGATTCCTGAAAAAATGGTTATGAATTCTTTGTGAGAATGAAAGCTATGAAATCAGTGTTCTTTATAGAGAAGGTGGTAGTCTATTAATTAGATCATAAAGTCAATACAGTGGGTCACAAACAATCATTTTTTCCCCTGGTGAAACAGAACAGAAACATGAGGAGGCATCTCAAGTAGGAAAGGTAAGTACAGTTTTGTGAAGCTTCTGTTTCAATCATATCTCTGTGTGTCTATTACCTTCTCCCCTTCCCCCCCCTAAAAATAGCTTCCATTTAGATACAGTAAATGCTACAGGAAACAGAAGGGGGTCACTTATGTCAGGCAGCAATCATACTATCATGGGCATTATTTTTCCACTACATAGGGAAAAAAATGAAAGGCAATACTCCAAGGCCTATGGAAAAGTACTTCAAAAACATCCCTAAAAAAACCATTACCTGTAGCACATCAAATTTTAGCTCTACTAAAAATAATCAGTCATCTAAAATTTTTAATCAAAACCAAATTTTATAAAATATTAAACATTCCTACAGTCTAAAGCATTCATTTTATAACTAATAAGTGCATTTTCAGATAAAGAAAGCTGCCGAGGATGAGAAGCAAGGGAGAGAAACAGCTCTTCTTCATCATCAACAGAAGGTGTAAAACCCACTGAAAAGTAACTTGGCAAGAGGTACTGAGAGGGTTAAATAACTATGCTATATGATAAACTCCGAATGGGTCAAAGATAACATGTAAAAAATAAACCCCTCATGCACTAGAAGAAAACATGGTGAAATCCCTTTATTACCTTGAAAGTAGGGAAGGCCTTTTTAACTATGACTCAAAATCCAGAAGCCATGTAAGAAAAAATTAATAAATTAGGCTGTAAAATTGGTTAAGTGACAGGGATTCAAATCCAGACATGTCTGCTTCTAAGGCTGGGTTCTTCTCACCCCACCATGCTGTTAGTCCTTCCAGGAACAGCTATTGGTCATTCTGACTCATATCTCTCACTCCCTGACCATGTTTCATAAATCTCAAATAGATCAAAATTGTTACTTTTCCAGCAAAATTATAAAAAAGATAAAGACAGGTAACTCATCAATCACTGTCTATCAGGATATATATGAAAACAAAATTACAGGATCCTGAGTACATGAAATGGCTTCATGCTCTTTAGGGACAACAGAGTCCAAGCCTAAAACATGGAGGAAGGCCAAAAGCCTCCTAGGCTGGAGTCTATTTTTATTTCAAACACACCTGAACTCAGCAGTTGCTGTGAATGATTCATGCTCAGTGATTGAGAACACAAGGAGAAAACCTTCCCCGCTGCGGAAGTAGTTGTCTCGGATGGCTGCATAGTCCTCTTGTCCAGCCGTGTCCAGAATGTCTATCTGGACTTCCTCTCCATCGAGAACTACTTTCTTCCTGTAACTGTCAGCTTTTGTAGGCTCATAGTCTTCTACAAACTGAGGAAATAAGCAACATTATCAGTAATTAACAAAGTGTTAAGGTAAGTAAAATCTGCCAAAAAATACATTTTAATATATGGGAACTTTGCTTATAATCAGCTCCTTATTGAATGCCCCTAATTATCACAGTTATGTGGAAGGCACTAGAAAATAAAAGTAACTCCTTATATAGCATTTCTGTTCTTTATTGTTCTCAGTTCTACCATTTTTTATTTTGTTTTTAAATATTCCTGTTTTATAGTTGAGGAGTCCAAGCATAGAGCAGAATACTTGACAATATTACTGTCAATATAAAATTATAATACAAACACAGACAAGGGTGATAAACAGGAGCTTTTATTCATAATTAACAGAAGTATAAAACCTGTCTGAAAAGTAACTTGGCAAGAGGTACTGAGAGGCTTAAATTACTATACAACATGATAAACTCCAAATGATCAAAGATTACATGTAAAAAAGAAACCCCTCATGTACTAGAAGAAAACATGGTGAAATCCCTTTATTACCTTGAAGTAGGGAAGGCCTTTTTAACTATGACTCAAAATCCAGAAGCCATGTAAAAAAAATTGATAAATTAGACTACATGAACATTTTTTAAGCTTCCAAATGGCAAAACATACTATAAACAAAGACAAATGACGAACAGGGAAGAAGTGTGTGAACCCATCATCACAAGGAGCTCTGTACAGATGGTTCCTAGGAACAGGGGGCGAGAGACAGATCAACCATCCAGTGGGGAAAAGTGGCAATGCATAGAAACAATTCACAAAAAATAAACAAGTACAATGTTAGACATATGAAAAGATATTCATCCTCACTAATAAAGAAAATTAAAACTGTAGTTATACTGAGGTACCATTTTTCACCTACCAGCCTGGCAAAAATCCCAAAGTCTGACAACACACTCTGTGGCAAGGCACTCTTCTACATTGCTAGTGAGAGCAGAGAAGAGTACAGTCTTTATGGAGATGAATATGCAAACATCTTGTACAACTAGAGAAGCACTTATGCTGTGTCCCAGCCATCCTGCTCCTAGGAATCTAATCTACAGAAACACCTGCACAGGAATATATAAGGTTATTCACTGTGGCACTGTATATGACAGCACAAGATTAAAAACCACCCATATATGCAACAGGAGTCCACATAAAGGAATTCTATGCAGCTAGAAAAAATGAGGACAAGAACTATGTACAGATATGTAAAGATCAACCAGAAGAATCTACTTTTTCACAAGAAAAATCGGGAGGGTAAAGAATAAGATACATATATATCTATATATATACATAGAGAGAGAGACAGAGAGAATTGTGTATCTTTACAAACAGATACCTTCATATGTATGTGTATGTACATGTATGTATGATGTATGTATGTATGTATTTGCCAAAGAGCTACCCTGGGAGAACAAAATTAAACAATAAAAAGCAAACCCAATTAAAAAATAGGCAAAGTATCTGAATAGACATTTCTCCAAAGATATGCAAATGGTCAATAAGCACATGAAAAGGTGCTCAACATCACTAGTCCTTAGGGAAATGCAAATCAAAACTGCAATGAAATGCCACTTCACACCCACTAGGAAGCTATAACCAAAAAGAGAGATAGTAGTAACAAACAGTAATGAGGATGAGGAACCCCCATACATTGTTAGGGGGATTATAAAATGGTACAGCTGCTGTGGAAAACAGTTCTGCAGTTTCCAAAAAGGTTATACATAGAGTTACCATATGACCCAGCAAATTTCATGCCTAGATATATAACCAAGAAAATTTAAGACATACGTCTACATAAAAATTCATACACAAATGTTCATAGCAACATTATTCATAGTAGCCAAAAAAACCCAGAAATAATCCAAATGCCCATAAATTGATGACTAGATAAACAAAACTGCCTGCCATATCCAGGAAAGTGGAATATTATTCAGTCATAAAAAGGGATGAAGTACTGACTGACACTACAACATAATGAACCTTGACAAATTATGGTAAGCAACAGAAACCAGACACAAAAAGTCACATACTATATGAGTCTATTTATATAAAATGTCCAGAATAGACTAATGCATGGAAACAGGAAGCAGACTACTGTTTGCCAGGATGGGGGAAGGGGATGGGGAGTGACTGCTAGTGGGGGAGAGGGGAATGGTTCTTTTTGGGTGATAAAAATGTTCTGGGGATAGTGGTGATGGCTGTACAACTTTGCAAATATACTAAGAGCCACTGAATTGTATACTTTAAAAAGGTAATACGAGTTACATCTCAATTTTTAAATAAAAGGAATTAAGTACTGATACATGCTATGAATTGGAGGAACTTTCAAAACATCATGCTAAGTGAGAGAAGCCAGATATAAAGTTCATGTATAGGATGATTCCACTTATATGAATGTCCAGAATAGGCAAAACTGTAAAAACAGAAAGTGGGTGTCAGGGACGAGGGGTAGGAGGGGGGAGAAGTAATAGGCAATGACTGATGATGTGTAGGGCTTTTTTTTTTTTAAGTGATGAAAATGTTCTAAAATTACGTAATGGTGATGGCTGCACATCTGTGTGAATATACTAAAAATCACCAAATTGTCTACTTTTTAAAGAGTTAATTTCATTGTATATGAATTATATCTTAATAAAACTGTAAATTTTTACAAATTTAAAAATTGAACTGAAAATATCAATATGAACTTTTGGGCCCTTTGAAGAATACTCTTAAAAAAACCTTGTATTGCCAATTAGCCCCTACTAGTTCAAATGATTTTAAATCTAAAAACCAAAATGCTGAAAGATTTTTAGTATTAGTTTCTCTTATATTCAAACTAATAGTTACCTTAAAAAATAGAGAAAATGTGAAAATTTGCTTAAGCTCACAACAGTATCCTTCTTTTAACTCCTTTCCCAAGAGACAAATACATGGCCAAAAAAGAAAAACCCCTGCCCAGTGCAAATCTCTGAATACCACCATAAAGCATCTCAATTGAGTATTTCTGAGCTCTCAAGGTTAAAACCAGTATGAGTCCCACTGACCCCTTTGATACTAGAAGTCAGAATGCCCTAATAAGACTGCATACCTCTGTGCTGATAAAAAAGCGTGCCTATTATTAGAACATGAGATTACACACTTGATGTTTACATTTTTCCACTAGAAATAGGAAATACCCAAAGTGTTGGTATTCTTTAAGATGAACTGTATTAACACTGGCCTGGCAGGACTGTGTGTGACTCACTTTGAGATGCCCAAGATGCACAAACCTAGGATGCCACACAGACCCATTCCTCCTGAACCATGTCTGAACTGACTTCGCCAGCCACTGAAGGGATGAACTGGTTGGCTGCTGCCTGTCTCCTCAACATCAACCTCACTTCACCAGAAATGGCAAATAGCTTTAAAAGTCTTCAAGTATGTTAGGTCAAGGATAAAAAGGTTAAAATTCAATTTTTCTCAAAGGCAGAATTTAGACAAAAATAAAGACTTCTGGGACTGCAGCTCCTTCCATAATCCAAATTTCAAGGCAATTCTACCATAAACTAAACTTCTTAAATTAAGAGTAAAGCATTGAATGAGGAACAAAAAGAGTATGAATGGCCCATGAGGCTTTGCACAACTGGCACCCCCAAATACAGGACTCGGTTTCTTTTCTATGAAATCAGGATTGACTAGCTCACATTTCCAGGGCCAAATGTCCTAGGACACATCCATACCTGATATACCCCGGCCCTGCACCTCCCATCACAATGCCAGGTGAGTCTGCACATTGGGTGGTGGGAATATTCCTGGAAGCCACTCCTACACTGGGACTGCTAGTAGTAACTTAACCACACACTAAAGTGATTCAAACTACATAATATATGCCTCTAAGCTCCAGTTAAATGTATCCTTAGTTCAACTTCCCTCAGCTAGATTCCAAAAACGCCTGTGGCCACTCCAACACCATGTAATGTAAGAGTAAGATGGAAAGAGGGAGAGTCTAGTGAAAAGTGTTAATGTCCTTAACCAACTGTGGTTACAGCATTTTTCTTTCACAAATTGTAAAGCACATGCCCATGTGGATGTGATGCAAATGAGAGGCCTGGAGTTCACACTCTCATCTAAACACCCTGCCTGTAGCAGCAAATGGCCATCAAGCAGGATTGTCTGTTACCACAAGAATCAAGACTGTGCTGTCACACTGGACTCAGCACTAGTCATATTATCCACCTTAAGTGATGTAAATTTGGGGCAAGGATGGTGCAAGCCTCACCTTGCTGCATGGAAGAACTAGGGAGAACCTGATGTCTATCACTTGAGAAAAGATTAAGTCTATGACAACTTAGTTCTCCCTTTCAATTCCTCCCAAAATTGACTGTCACAAAGCTCACTATCAGATCTGTTCTTCAGAAATACCTGTATAGAAGTCCTTCCTTCCTCCCTTGCTCCTGCCAGAAAGAAGCTCAAAGTATAGCATAGAGAGAAATGCAAGCAGAGACTCTCACATCCCTGCCCCAGTTGAAATTACAACCTGAAAACCAGCAATCCAGATCTTATGAAGGTTACACACACCCCCATAAAATTATTCAGAAATCACCCTAACACGAAATTGCCCCGTGATCCTCTATGCACATGGGGGAATGGGCACATAAACACAGCTGGAGATGGACACAGCTACAGTAGACAATGCTGGCAGTGGTCTGGGCCTGGTGTGTCTTACCTCATCATACATGAACTGAAGTGTCAGAGCAGACTTGCCTACCCCTCCACTGCCAACCATGATCACCTTGTGAAGGACCAAGGAGCTCTGGTTCTTGCTCTTGTTTGCAGCCATCCTGCTGGTTTTCTGAGGTTGCAACACGCAGACAGAAGACCAGCTGTCAGTGAAAAAGACAAAGACTTAGAGGTGGTTTGGTTTCCACATGGCTGACATCCAATGAAATTCACATGCTCCAGAAAAGCCTAACTCAGACATTCCAACAGAGAGGTATTTCTTCTGGGCTCCTGGAAGAAAGAAAGGCCCTCCAACAACTGTGGATATCATTTACCACTGCAGAGCCAAAGCCAAGGCAGGGTGAGAGAAAGAAATGAGTATGCACACCCAACACCTGTAGCACTGGAGAGGGCCAGGAGGCCCCCACCAAACCCCAGCACCACCTCAGCAGCCTTCACCGTGCGGAGTGACCAGAAAGCTCCGAGTCCCAGTTTTCCACCGCTACCCAAGTCATGTGGCACCATGGAGAACCCCAGAACTCGGGGACCTCCATCTTCATCCCCTTGTGCTAGCTCCTCTCCCCTGCTCTGTACCTGTACCCCCTGTGCCCCACACTGCACACTTGCTTAGTCCTCCACATGGACTGAGGCAGCAAACTGGAACAGGAGAAGTAAACGTATTGTGTATAAGAAGCACCCCGCTTCTTGGCATGACATGAGAAGAAGCAAAACTAAATGGTTTGCTCCAAACATATTTAAAGTGATGTACTATAATGAGGTAAATTTTTCTATAATAAATCTATTAGTCAAAATCAGATAAATCTCATCAGAAGTGAGATAAAAATGAGTAGAGCACCCAGGGAATTGTGGGAAGATACGGTTTTCTGAAAAAGAAAATCTAACAGATACCTGGAACTTATTGTAACCCAAATGCTAATATTTGCATTTCAACCAATTTGTATGGAAAAACCTCTTTCACATATACCACAGTGTAAGAAAAAAGGACACGGACTCAGGTGTCTCATGGGCCTGAGTCTGGCTCTGCCATTTGTGAGCCATGTGACCTAGAACTATTCAATTTCTCCAAACCAGTTTTCTTACCTGAAAAAAACAAGTAAACCACCACCTAACTTGCAGGATTTTTCTGATGATTAAATGAGATAACATGAAAAACTCAAGCACAAAGCCAAACACACAGTAGAAACTTAATAAAGGTTGGTTTCTGTCCTACCAAATTTTAAGAGGGCTTTATTTCCTAATTACACAAGGCTAATTTCTAATGACAAGTCCTATTTCCATTACTGCTGACAAAGTAACCAGAAAAATAAATAAATATGCACAACACACACACAAATCATTGGACAAAATAATAAAATAACATTGTTTTAAGTCAGTGGTTTCCGTCCTTGGCTGGGATCACCAAGAAGGTTTTAAAAATATCCTGATGCTGGGTCCCACCCTGGAAATTCTGATGGAATTGGTCTGGGATACAGCCCGGACACAGGACTTCTAGAAGCTTCTCAGGTGCTAGTGATCATCCAAGGTTGAGAACTTCTTTTACATGCACAGCTGAGCTCAAAAGAAAACAAGAAATCCCCAAGAAAGGATGGAAAAAGATCAAGGTAGTAAAAGTTGGCATTCCTGCAGTATTAGATGGCTGCTGTTCTTAGCTTTGGATTTAACAAACACACAGGTCGAGGAGACCAGATGCCTGTCCCGGGGGTAGTCAGAATTGAGACCTCTTCTCCATTGCGACTGAGAGGCCAAGATCCACAGAGGAGCACACCTTCAGGTAAAGACTGGAGTCGAAAATCATCTGCTCACTTACAGGAGATGACCACAAGGAAGTTTGCCTGAGCCCAGCTGTAGAGAGTGCACTCTGAAAATCTGTAACCACAGCACTCCTCAAAGTCAAGAAGCACACATGAAAGGTAGTCCCAGGCTAGCTGCAGTGCTGGAGCCCAAGGCACAGGGCTAAACAAAACCTCTGCAGGGCTGCCATGCAGAGAGGTTTTTCTTTTTAAAGACGCTCAGGAGTTGCATTGCTAAAGGCCACAGACGGGAAGACCACAGTTCCAACCTACGGAGCACCTAAGAAAATTACCGTACAGAGAGACAGCATCCAAACAAATAGAACTTTTCAGACAGCTCCTACAAAAAGCATTATATGATAATTTCTAACAAAGACAAAATCAAAATGTGATAAAAATGACATTACCAAAAGACCAGGAGTTGAACAAGAACCATTCTGAACGTCCAAAATATTTTTTTAAGTATGTAAGATGAAAAGTAATAAAACCATAGGGGAGGAGAAACTAGTTTTTTCTCTACCTATCTTTGGTTCATAGGCTGAATCCCTGCAAATTAGACTTACAAAAGACAGATTAACCAGAGAAAAACAGATCGAAGCCTATGAATGTGTGCATCTCACATGCATAGAGGAGACCTCAGTGATGAGTAACTCAAAGGGAGAGGTTAGACCTTGGGCTTATACAGCATCTTAACAAAATAACAATAAATTTTGTAGAGAAATGACAAGACAAAGGAAAAGGACTTTGCCCTTCTACAGGTGGCAAATTGTGGGAAGGCAGATACTATATGGGGGAAACCATGGAAGACGAGGGCTAGTGAGTGAAGTTTGTTGTGTAGATTCCTCTGGTGCCATCTCTGGGCTGTTAAAGAGTCTAGAGTTTGTCTCAGGTGATTTGGAATCATCCAGTTGTTCCTGGAAGAGGGGGAGGCAGAGAATTGTTCTTTGTGTCTGTTACTTTTCAATTGCCTTCAGCTCAAAAGCATCCCTAAGTCAAAGTGATACTTTCTGAGGTGGCATACTCTAAACCCTTTCAGTGCTCAGTTGAAAATTTAGAAAACACACAAAAACTATCTTCAAAAAGAGAGAAAAAACCACCTACGATCATGCCATCCACAGAATTCACTATTAACAATGTATTTCCTGCCAGTATTTTAATCTATATATTCCTATATTTAAAACCTATTTGAAATCATATTTACATAGTTTTGCATGTTAGATTTCATATACTCTGTCTTCTTAAACAAAGCATACTAAACATATTTAAACATTTTCTTGATGCTTTAAGAGTCGAAATTCCCCAGAAAATCAGTAATATGCACAGCCTTGGGCTGCTGGAGTGTCTGCTTGTCCTGCCCCCTTACACCGGACCGTCGGTTTACTTGACTACACCAGGCCTTCTTCCCACTCCCCCTTTCCTTAAAAAATAAGTGTTCCAAGCAATTAACTAGATAATTAAGCACATTTGAATTGACTAAAATAGAATAAATGGGATAAGGAGCAAGCCTTCCCAAAACGCTTCAGAAAGGAACCTTGCTTCCTATAAATTATCATAATTGTATGAAAATGGAGAGAGAATTTTCCCAGGATTAGGGGAGCTTTCAAACACTTGTAGAAATCTAATTCTGAGCTGTTGTTTTCAAAAAACCAAGTCAATTTCTTCAGAAGAAACCATAATAAATGAAGACTAGTCAACAAATCCACAGGTATCTGCCAAAATATCTGTGCTCATGGCTAAAACTGAAATAACCAGGATACATATGTCTAATCCACAAACTTCTTCAGTCAACTTGCAATGATGAGGGGAAAGACAGGAGAAAGGCAGAGGTGCCAGTCATGTGCCCATTACTGAACCAGCCCTGGAAAATGGAAATGTGGACCTGTGGACTCCTGTTAGTGGAGACAATGAACCCCTATCCATCAAGCTGCTGTTAGTCTGCTCACTGTTGTTGTCTGTTTTCACTCCTGCCATGCTGCATTCCAGAAACAGTGTGCCCGCCGGTTCGGAGAGACTAGCAGATGACTATGGTACAGGGTAACAAACACTCTGGCAGGAGTATGCAGGAGGCGCTCCGAGAACACAGAGGGGGCATCCACACCAGAGGGCTGGCCAGGGAAGTGCCCTTGGAGGGAGCCCCAGAGGAACTAAGATGTGAAGGGGCTGCCTAGAGAAAGGCACAGGGTTGCTACCCAGAAAACCACTCAGCCTTAGGAGGCTCATGAAGGTGACTTAATACTTAATAATGGATATGACTAGACAATAAATGTGTTCTTAAAAGATAACACAAGTAACCTTTTCCCTAACATTTTATTATAAAAAGTTACAAACTTTCAGAAAAGTTGAAAAAACTGCACAGTGAATCTATATACCACCACCTGTCTGACAATATTTTGCTCTAGTTGCTTTATCACAAAACCCAGGTGGCTGGCATCCCTCTACCTACCCATCAATCCATCTTATTTTTTTATGTGTTTCCATGTAAACTGTGTCATCCGGACACTCCATCCCTAACTTCAGCACAGTCATCCACTTTTTAACAAAGCGATTATCCTTTCCCCACTGCCTTCGCTGACCATTTCAGAACTACCGCCGTGGTGCTTGCAAACCACCCAGTGTCTTCCATGAGCTCTCTCTTTGGGTTTGTAGCCCATACACAAAAACCATACCATAGACCTTCCAACAAGAGGAACTTGGGCCCAAACACCAAGCCTGGCATGGCTCTCACTTGAGGGTCAGAAGTCTTTTACAGGGAGCTTAAGAAACATACCAACAGATACCCTTTAATATAGGCCCCCACTGACTAACAGGAAAACTCTGTAGTTTAATTCATTTTGGTCCAAAAACATTTAAGCACTAAGTGGGTCTCTGCCCTTAGAAAACACAATCTCCCACAGAAAGACATATAAAGTATTTTAATATAATTTCTCACATGCAGTGATAAAGACAGCAAAGGTGCGACAGAAAGGATAATGAACTCAGGCAGAGAATCAGGAAAGCCTCAAAATCAAACAACAGTTCACTCAGCAGAAGGGGGTGGAAAGGGGAGCCTTCCATGCATAAGAGACACAGGCAAAGCGACAAAGGCATGAAACAACACTGCAGGGCCAAGCATCAAGTGACACTGAAGCCTAAGACACGGGGTGGGGACAAAGCTGGGTGAAGGGTCTCAAAACATAGACATGTTCATCTACAAATGGGCCTACAGTGCTGTCTTAAGGATCGTATCCTAGAAAAAATGGGTAGTCACGGCAAGGCGGTACTCCACCCAGCTTAGTTTTTATGGCACTGCATCATTAAGAATAAACCCACCACCTCCCATACAGAAAGACAAGACCCTCCAAACTAAAAGAGCC